AAAGGAACGCACGGGCCAGAGGCTCCGGCGAGAGTGCTCTGTGGTTGTTTTCATATTGTCTGTTTGTGCCTGAGTATGGTTCACATTGCAGGAAGGACAAACAGGTACAGCCATCCAACAGAAAGTTGCAGTGGTCATCTACATAGAAAAAAGGATTGAAACTGACCATTCACTCGTTTTTCTTACAGAGCAATTTACAGTGAATTCATCCCTCTCCTTGCTGATCTCCTAATAGCTGATAATTGAGTTTCTTCACTTTCGCCTGTGCCCTTTTGATTTGTCTTCAACTTCAGAGTGAAACGCTCTGGGTATAAAGATGGGGGCTGGAACATACGGATGTAATTTCACTCCTTCCCTAAAACCCCACTAAGATGTCAAGAGGTTTTGCTGTTGGTGTGGTGGTGATGGTGTGTTTTGTTCGCTTCCAAGCATAAACCTAAAAGGCTGGGGAGACAAGAAAAAGGAACCATGGCAATAAATTTTGGGAGCTGGAAGGCAGATGGATAAATGGTTGATGATTTAGCAAACTGAAAAAAACTGAATCTAAAGATGGCCAACCTAAGACAAGAACCATCCAGATTTACATGATGGAGTCCCTAGGAGGTTCCAGGTTGGCAGCAGCAGGTACCCCTGAAGTGGGGATGAGAGAGAGAGACGCTAGACTGAGACAGATTCAGGGAACTAGACTCTTCCCCCTCCACCCCTTTCCCTCCATAGGTGATAGGAAGAGTCTGCAATCCAACCAGCGCAAGAGGGGAGATCCAAGGATGTTGACATCAGGACTCACACCCAACAGCTGAGGCAGCTCACCCGACGGGAGGGCTCATATCTTTTCCGACAGACTTTAAAAGCATTTTACCTCCTATTTGGAATTCTCAGTAGAAAAACAAGCATCACTTGACTTCTGAGAAAAGCCTCCAGGACAACAACATCTTTGTCAGCAGGGACTGGTTTTGCAGAAAACAATTTTTCCATGGACCTGGGGTGGGGGGTGGCGGATGGTTTGGGGATGACTCAAGAGAAGTGATGAGGAGTGGCTGTAAATACAGATGAAGTAAATACAGATGAAGATGAAATACTCAGTCCCCTGCCACTCACCTCCTGCTGTGTGGCCCAGCTCCTATCAGGCCACGGACTGGTACCAGTCCACGGCCCAGGGGCTGGGACCCCCGCTCTAAGAGGAGAGACAGAGACCCGAACACACAGAAGAAAACATGGAGGAAACGGGGATGATACAGTAAGAAGAAAACCTGGATAAAAGACCATAAAGATGGAACTTGCTGAGACCAGAGTAAAAAAAAAAAAATTTTTTTTTAAATATTTTACTCTGCTAACAGAGACGAAAAACTCAATAGAAGGATTGGGGAAAAGTTGAAGAAAACCTTCAGAAAATAGCAAGCAAAAAGGAAAAAAATACAAGATAAAAGGATTTAAATGAGGTCTATTACCTGAATAATGGCAGTTATAAAAAAAAATAAAAAAGAGGGAACACTTTCTAAAAAACAATTGAAACTTTTTCACAATGGAAAGCCATGACTTTGCAAATTTAAAAAGCCTATCAACTGCCCAAGGGAGAACAGACCCAAGAAATGTCATCATATTTCAGAACATGGGGACAAACTTCTAGAACAGACAGGTCTTATGTAAAAGACCAAGGATAAGAATGATTGGGAATTTCTCCACAGCAACACTGGAAACTAGAGTGGTAAAACTGAAAGCCAGGGTTGCAAAATCCTGAGGGAAAAATGCTTTCTAATCCACAATTTTATACAGAGACTATTCCAGACTCATGGAGTCTGTCTTCTGCATTGGCAGGCGGATTCTTTACCACTAGCACCACCTGGGAAGCCTATAGCATGCATGCATGGTTTAAGTGTGAAGATAAGTTAAAGACATTTTTGAGATAGACAAGTTCTCAGTGAACTGACCTTTCATGCACCCTTTCTCAGGAAATTACTCTGGAGGATGTGCTTCATCAATATGAGGAAGTAACCCGAGAAACTGGGAAACAAAGGAAACAGAATGTCCAAGAGAGAAGGGGGTTCTCTCGGTGACAGTGAAAGACCCCAGGATGAGCTACATTTCAAGATTTGAGTGAGGCTGGTTCAGACTACAACAGACAAGCTCTAAGAGAAGCTTCTGATGAGCCCCTGATGTGTCTAGGTACGTTTGGGGATTGAATTCATGATGAAAAATAAGATGACCATTCATTATATGTTAGTCGCTCAGTCGTATCCGACTCTTTGTGATCCCATGGACTGTATAGCCTGCCAGGCTCCTCCATCCATGGGACTTTTCAGGCAAGAATGCTGGAGTGGGTTGCCATTCCCTTCTCCAGGGGATCTTCCCAACCCAGGGATCAAACCTGGGTCTCCCGCACCGCAGGCAGACTCTACCATCTGAGCCACCAGGAAAGCCCGACTGTTCATTATGGGGGAAAAGTTGGCCAGGAAAGCATTAGTAATATACAACATGGTCAACCAAAGTAATGGTTTCGCTAAGCTGGAAGGGCCGAGAGATGAGAAGGGGGCGCATGAACGGTGGGACAGGGAAAGGAAGAAGCAAAATCTTCCTGGAGGAGCAGGAGAGAACGTCTAAACCTGAAAAATAGAGACCTGTTCTTTTTAGTAACACGGAGGTAAATGCCTGAAGCTGCTAAAGCTTTTGAACATCTCCATTTCTGTGAGCTGGAGTACTAAATTGGATTAAATACAAACTCAACTTTGATGCCAGAAACCATAATCTTTGAACTGCAGAGTATACCAATGTTTTTTCAAAGATGATACTCTTCACATAATGATTAGTAACACTCCAGGAGGTAGAAGGAAACCTTTCAGCATAAGAAACTGAATCATTTAATTGACCGGCAATTACCAACTACGACTGGAGAATGAAATAGTAACCCACTCCAGCATTCTGGCCTGGAGAAGCCCATGGACAGGAGAGCCTGGCGGGCTACATACAGTCCATGGGGTCGCAGAGTTGGACAAGATGGAGCAGTCAGAGCAGAGCATGCCAAATACTATGAATCACAGCATTTGTACTGAGCAACATCTTTTTTCCTTAGAAGGACTGAATGAAATAATATGATCCTAAGTTTAAAGTCATTCAAACTTTGGAGTTTAAACTTCTGTCACTTTTAACCATGCATCTTCAGGAATGATTTTTGACCTTTCTCAGCCATTATCTCAGGAATAAGTGCTATTGTTTATTAGAGGGCTATAACATTTATATACTGTATAAACTAATAATTTATATGAATTATCACAGGCTATTGTGAGGGTTAAGGCATGTGACAGTACATGGCTGACACAAAGCAGTACTCCATTATTTTGAGAATTTCCCAGAATGACTTGAAAGCTAATGAGTACACAGGTATAGTGTTTTTGTGGCTATTGGTCAATATTGAACAGTCTCAGCCTTACCCCAGTGTTCCCATTGCAACCCTGAGGCTGGGAGCACTCTCAAGAGATGAATGAAATAATGAGGACCTACAGTGATGATGAGAGGCTTCAGGTTGGCGTTAGAAGTGGGAGGTGGCTACTTGGTGGCAGTCAACCTAACTCCGCCACAGCCTCACCTGCGCGAGCTTTCAAAAACACGCTGGGACTTTCTTGGTGTCCAGTGGCTAAGACTCCATGCTCCTAAGGTGGGGGGGCGGGGGGCAGGTTCAATTCCTGGTTGGGGAACTAGATCCCACATGCCACAACTAAGACTGAGCACAGCCAAATAAATAAATAAAAATAAATATTAAAAAAAAAAATTCCTGGGTCCAACCCTCAAATTCAAATTCTACTGGTCTGGGATGAGGCCCGGGCACCATTATGGTTACAGTCCCAAGTGACCTCCATGTGTAGAAGGTTGCTTCTGATAGTTGTATTACTCTACACTTAACAAGAAATTTTGGGGACTTCCCTGGTGGTCCAGTGGCTAAGACTCCCTGCTCCCAACGCAGGGGGCTCAGGCTTGACCCCTAGTCAGGGAACTAGATCCCACACGCCACAACAAAGGTCGGCGATTCCACGGGTCACAACTAACACTTGGGACAGCCACATAAATAAACAGGAAATTTTTAGAAAATGCTAAAGGCAGCCAGATGGGAGGAGTCAGGTGGCCAGAAATGGCTGCAGGACATTGACAAAAACGGAGAGTTGTTAGTATGCGGTTGGCTGAAAAGTTTGTTCCGGTTTTTCCATGAGATGGTGCAGAAAAACCTGAATAAACTTTTTGGCAAACCCAATACTGAAGTTATTTGAATCGCTGTGATTAACCTCCCACCTGTCTCCAAAACTTTCAACAGGTCAGCTACACAAGTACCCAAGGTGCATGGCGTTGCTGGTGTGAGAATCACACAACAGGAAGAGGTTATAGGCAGGCAAGATGAGTCCCACCAGAGCAGGAACTCAGAACCCGGGTGTCTGTGAGGTGGACGCTTGGCGGGGACGTGCTAGGGTGTGACGCTCGGGTCACAGTGACAACCAGAGCGAAGGGAACGTAAGCCCACGTGCCTAAGGTCTGCTGCTTGGATTCCTGGTTTGATGTCACCTTGACTCCCTTATCTCCCCCTAGCCCCACTGCTTTCCCTCAGTATTTAAGATGCTTGACCAATTTATACAATTAAAATGTATAAGTCTAATCTCCTCACCTAAATTCTGATCAAGTGAATTGCCAAGTTGAATCCAATTAGAGCTCATTCACATTCTAACCAGTGTTTTTTATTTAAAGATAGAACCCAAATATACTACAAACGCCCCCATTTCCATCTGTCATTCACTTAACTGCAAAATAAGATACACTCTAATGTGTCCAGAAACACAAAAAGATTATAAAAGTGATGTAACTAGGACCCACATCTAATTTTAAAAACACCTTCCTTTTTCTTACAATGTATTTAGTAATACCTACTAAATTCAGTAATATCTAATTTCACATATACAAATCATGAAAAGTATTTTAAAAATATAGGAGCCACAAATTAATGTGAAACAAGAGACATTCAGTAAGTCGGCAAAAAGTTTTTATGTGTGTCCATTTATTGATTGCTGGGAATACAGCTTATTGAGAATACACTGACATGCATTTGAGGGGAGAAATTAACCAAACCTGAAAGGAAGCCGTTCAATAAGCCTGAGAGTTAATAAGGTAAGAGAGATTAGCTCTAAAGACAAAGCGTGGGGGGTGACTCCAACAACCACAGAGGGCTGTCCTTAAGATGCCAGCTACAAACACTTCGGGAACTTCTGTTCTGAACTACTCTGGAACTATCAGGATAGAGAGAAGATCACCCTGCCTCTTTAGTTTAAACTAATGCAAGAAAGAAAGCTGCTCACTGATGTGCCACAAAACAAAAAACTTGCTGTCACTTCGAACTGTTCAAGGTAATTCCATTTTTACAAATTCTTCCACACCAATTTGTATGCTTTAGAGTTATATGCAGCTATGAGATTTAGAAAAGATTCACAACTGATGCAAAAGACTGTAGTCATATTATTCCCATATCTGCTGATTTATGCTTTGTTCTAATACTAGCAGATTTTTACAGCATATTGTCAATTTTTCCCCAAGGTGTTGAACTCATTGATACAATAAAGTGATATAAATTAAAAGAATTCCAGTTACACTCAAAAGGACAGAGATTAAATTACTGGAATGTCTGATCATAATTTAAAATTATTTAATGATATATGTGGTACATACGACATAAAGATTACAACCTAAAGGTGGATAAAGCGCTGAGACATACTCCTAACTGCAGAGTTACATGCCAGAGTTTCTCCCAAACTTTTTAACAGGTATTTTTTTCTTAAAATGATAACATCGATGTTACTTGATATTCAAAATGTTCTGAACTGCTTTCTGTGGTAGCAGGAATAAAAAAGAGAAAACAGAAACGGACATACCCCAGTGAAATAAAAAAAAGGCGGGGGGAAGATTTTGGGTTTTTTTGTTTTTAGGAGGCAGTCTATTCCTTCCATGAATTGTGCTCTTTCCTTAAAGCTCTGGGGGTCAGGGGGCGGAGGGGGGATCCGGTCACGGCTTGCAGCGCTGGACAAACCGAGGGTACAAGCACACATCTCGGATGTGGTATCTGTCCAGAATCCAGGTCAAGAATCGTTCCAAGCCCAGGCCATAGCCACCATGTGGACACGTGCCATACTTTCTCTGTTAGAAAGAGAGACAGAGGAGTAAAGACTTACTTTACAATTTTGTCTAAAACAGTGAAAGTTTTCTGCTGTAAAATGAGTCAGCTTACGGTGGTTAAGGGATAACCCTTGGACTTCCCTGGGAATCCAGTGGTTAAGAATCTGCCTGCCAATGCTGGGGACACGGGTTTGATCCCCAGTCCGAGAAGATCCCATGTGCTCAGGAGCAGCTAAGCCCGCGCTCCATGACGAGATGCCATCGCAATGAGCAGCCTGTGCTCCACAACAAAGACCCAGCGCAACCAAAAATAAACAAGGAATTCAACCCTTAAGCTACACTCCTTCATGGACCACATGGGAAAAAATATTTTGATATGAAAAATAAACCAGGGATTTAACACCCTAGAAAGAAGGGATTTCACACTTCAAATTAAGCTAATGTCTGTTTATCAGAAGAAAAGGAACGACTAGATATTAGTAGGATCTAATGACACATTTTTAAAAACTCAATAGCAACGAGTGAGGCCAGCAGTTAACAGGTTTTCAAATTAAGTTAACATGTTAGTGGCCAAAGACAAAACCCGCAATACTCACATCCCACACCATTAAAACCGCGAGACTGAACACAGCTCATTCACATGCTAACATCCCGCCCGAATTCTCCCCTTCTGACCATTTCAATACACACAGAACTATCATGCTGAAAAAGCACTGAAGGGTTTATTTAATAAAACAGTTTTTACCTGGTCCGTGTACCAGTAATAGGGGGTAGGGTCAATCCCTTCTCTTTTGTAACCTGCCAGGATCTCTTCATTATCCCAGATACGCATGGAGCCACCCACGATCTCACCAACATTGGGCATCAACACGTCGACCTTTCAGAACGAGCAAATAAAACAGCCTTACTTGCTGTGGTTTGACTGAGACCAGGCCTTCAGTCACGGTGCTGCTCTAGAGTTTGAATGGAAATCACTAAAAGCGTCTGATGATCGTGCCAAACTCAAATATGACTCAAATGCTATAATTCAACAAGGCGGGTTAAACACAGTAAGAGGGCAGGAAACACTTCTTGAAATGTTGGAAGATTTATAAAAAAATATTTGCTGTGAGCTGCCTCTTATTCCAGTGGCCCCGCTCAGCCCCCACCCCCCACCCCCTCACCATCCCTCTATACCCTTCAAAAGTAAAACCACTATCTGAACCCTAGACTGACAGATTCGGTGAGGCGGGGGTCCTCGGGACAGCGCTGCATGTAGAAGGACTTGATCTCCACGGGAAAGCGACACAGCAGGATGGGCTCGTTGATGGTGTCTGTCATCAGCCTCTCTGGAGCTTCCGGGATGTCCTGAGGTTAGACAGGGGCTTCATGAACATCGACACCTCCAAAGGCGCCCTGGCAGAAGCAGCTCTCTGATCCAGCGGCAGTCTATCATCTTACTCACCCAACAGAGCCCAGAACACACGTCCACCCATAACCCGTGACCATGCGGATGTAAGGGACCATCTCTGTAAGCAGATCTGTCTCTTCCTACATTACACCTGGGCCACGTAGCACAAGGAATGAAAACACACAAAGACACACACGGTGGGGGTGGGGGTGGGGGGGTGATATACTGCTCCATTATCCCTTTCCAGTGGCCAGTTTTATCTGGGTCTGAAGCAAACGCAGTTCACCCAGTCCCATAAGGTGTAGGATAATCAGCAGATGCTTCACAACATCATTGATCTACACACACACACCATGTTATTAATAACACCAATCTTTAACCTCCCCTGTTATCTCCGCTCCTTTCCTGTTATAATAAATCTGCATGCCTTCAACGGTCCTAAGACACAGCTCTAAGACAAATAACCAGTGTCGAATTTATAAGTGTAACCACACCTGGAGCAGTTAGCCAAGAGAGGTTAGATGATGATGAATCAAGTTAATCTGTTTTCCGCTCACGTATCCTTCAGTAAACCACACATAAATTCAAGTTCAAACTGGAAAAAACTAGTCCCGGTAAAAACTGATTGGAGAGAATGGGGCAAGACTGACTGATTCAAGGTTAAGGACTGAGGGAGCTCCCCCATCGCCGGGCGCAGTGGTTTGCAAGCTCTCCCTGGAGCCCTTCGCCCTCTACAGTCCAGAGGGGAAAAGGGAGGGGCGCTCTCTAGGTACTAGAGTCATGAGTACAACTTAACTGCAGGAAAAGGGGCTCCCTGCACGTCCCAGGGTCTGAAGACATCTCCTCTATCCTAGCTGACACGGAGAGGAAACGCTGACAGGCTTGGAGGGCTGCCTGCTGGGCACTGAGTTCAGTACGTCCTCTGACTTTGCAAGTGGACATCACCTCCAAGGCAGAGACAGGATAGACAGCGGGGTCGCTAGCCTCTTGCTCAGCAGCAAGGACAGAGGTAGGACTGAGGCCTGGGGGGCTCAAGTTCTTTCCACTCAACCCCGCTGCCTTGCGGTACTAGGTGGTGACAGCACTCAGGTTTTCAGCACAGAATCTGGTTTTACACAAGGTCAACTGAATTCATGAAGCAAAGTAATTTATATAAGCCTAGTACACTGTCCTCTCTCTGTGATTTCTTTCTAAAAATGAAACAAAAATCACACATTTCATTTGCAAAACAGATTTGCAAATACTAAGTAAGGAGTGGTTAAATGCACAAGGAAGAGGGTTTGGAACAGTGTTAATAACCTATTCCCACAGACAGTGCTGGGAAGGTGGTCCTGGGCAAGACAGACATGCTCAGTGTATCTGTGGCGCTGGGCCACCTTCCCCATCAAAGCCTTCTCTCCTGGTTTTACATTTTAACCAGTGGCTATTTTCTTCTCTGAACCTCCTCCATACGAAGGAGTTTTAATTCACTGTTTAGGGGGAAGAAAATATTCTTGCTTGGGAAATCCCATGGACAGAGGAGCCTGTGGGCTATGATCCATGAGGAAGCACAGAGTCAGACATGACTGAGTAACTAACACTTTCACTTTTCATCCTTTTTTGAAAGTCAGTTGCTTTCTCCAGAAAACCAAAACAAACATATACACATGGCAACACTTTGCATGTGACATCAAAGTTCAGAATGTTTTGAAGCGTCCTGCCAGTCTAGAGGATTACAACTAGAGCTAGTAAGAACGTGGACTTATGGAAGAGGAATGAGACAAAGGATGGGGTGTGAAGGCTACAAACTGACTCATGTGTACTGAAGACCAGAGAAAAGGCACTGCCCCAACGACCACTCTATACCTACCGAGCCATGGATCCTCACGCTAGCCCAGGAAGGAGGGTCTGTGGTTATCATTTATTTAACAAGCAGATGCCTCCTACATTACTGGTGACCAGAAGGAGCAATCCACTTAAGCATAAGGCTCCCTTTGACAAGGTGACTACAGAGGAATTCATACCTCTCCAAATTCATAGAAGGTTCCATCTTCTTTCTTTATGTTGTGTTCTTTCAGCCACACAATAGCATCTGAATAGTTCATCCGTTTGAAAGGCCGTTTAGGGGGCTTAAAATTCTAGAGTAGAAAGGAAAAACACGGTGTATATAAAGAAACATTCACACGAACATTTCAAGAGATGCTATTTACCATTATCATCAGATATGACTGGACGAACGGCAGGACTTGCTCCTTCACGCTGGCAGCAGAGGGGCAGAAGCATAAAGGGCGGGGTGCGTGTGGACGTGTTCACGTTTGTGTTTTGATGATAACCACTGATGTGTGCACATTTCTTGGTACTATAGGAATGCACTATTAAGTAATTAATTCAATGGAAACATACCTCCTTGCTAATACTTTCAATAGTTTGGATCAGATGACGAATCCTCTTAGAAGCATTATACTTTGGGTACTCTGCTGATTTAGGTCTCATTTTTAATTGACCATTATGGGAATTTTAATCCTAACTCTGCCAGTATCTTTGTCTAAAGGCCTGTTGCCATTTTTGTCGCCAAGAAAGGCTGGATTACATTCTTTTCCCTTCCAGATTGAGCTGGTATAGTGCATTCCTGTTTATCAAAATACTCATAGCTTTGGGATTTTGAAACGGTAAATATTCATGATGTGTGAAACAGTGTGATACGTAACTGTATGATCTTAATTATATAAAAATGGATGCTTAGTTGTGAAAATACACACGTAAGAGCTAGAAGGACTCAGCAAATGGAAAACTGCTTGTGATTATGAATGACTTTGTTTTCTGCATCTTGTGTTTTTTAGGTTTCCTATTATGCACATGTTAACTTTTCAGAAATAAATACTACTTTTAAACCTTAAAAAAAGTTCTTTCAGACTTGAAAGCAATTCGGGGAGTTCTCCGACAGTCCAGTGGTTAGGGCTCTGCATCTCCACTGCCAAGGGCCCAGCTGGAACTAAGAGCCCACGAGCCGTGCAGCGCAGCCAGAGACCCCCAGCACTGGGCATCCCTGAGAGTGGGGAAGACACACCGACTCCTATGTGAGTTAAGATACTGTGAAATTATCGGCAATAACTAGCGTCCAGTTTTAGTCTTCAAAATATCAGTCTGGAAATGGGTGAATGGGACCAAAAAGTACAAACTTCCAGATATAAAAGAAGTTAAGTCCCAATAGGATGTAATGTATGACATGGTGACTATAATCAGTAATAGTACTATACATCTGAAAGCTGATAAGAAAGGATCTTGAAAGGTTGCATCACAAGAAAAAAGCTGTAACTACGTGTGGTGCGGGGGTCATTTTCTGTTTTAAATTTTATCTGTTTCTGGCTGCACTGGGTCTGCGTTGTTGGGGGCACAGGCTCTGGCACATGTGGGCTTCAGCAGTTGTGGTGTGCAGGCCCCATAGTCCCGAGGCATATGGAATCCTCCCAGACTGGAGATCAAACCCATGTCCCCTACACGGGCAGGTGGGCCCTCAACCACTGGGCCACCAGGCAAGTCCCATTTTCTAATATATATATATATCTGAAAGCATTACGGTGTACACCTAAATGTAATATGTTATATATCAATTATAATTCAAAAAAAGTCCTTTATTTCAAAGCTCACCAAACTATTAAATCTATAAAAATCAAGAATGTGGACTTTGCTGCCTTCTAAAACAGAATCCTCATTTCATGTTCCCATACAACGGCAGACCTACCGGGTTGAGGTCACGCACTATGCTTCCTGCAGGTGATTTCAAGACTCTATCGACCACGTCACAAAAAGGCCTGTTGCCATTTTTGTCGCCAAGAAAGGCTGGATTACATTCTTTTCCCTTCCAGATTGAGCTGGTATAGTGCATTCCTGTTTATCAAAATACTCACAGCTTTGGGATTTTGAAACGGTAAATATTCATGATGTGTGAAACAGTGTGATACATAAGTGTATGATCTTAATTATATAAAAATGGATGCTTAGTTGTGAAAATACACAAGTAAGAGCTAGAAGGACTCAGCAAATGGAAAACTGCTTGTGATTATGAATGACTTTGTTTTCTGCATCTTGTGTTTTTTAGGTTTCCTATTACGCACATGTTAACTTTTCAGAAATAAATACTACTTTTAAACCTTAAAAAAAGTTCTTTCAGACTTAAAAGCAATTCGGGGAGTTCTCTGACAGCCCAGTGGTTGGGACTCTGCATCCCCACTGCCAAGGGCCCAGCTGGAACTAAGACCCCACGAGCCGCGCAGCGCAGTCAGAGACCCCCAGCACTGGGCATCCCTGAGAGTGGGAGAGACACACCGACTCCTATGTGAGTTAAAATGCTGTGAAATTATTGCAATAACTAGTATGCAATCTTAGTCTTCAAAATATCAGTCTGGAAATGGGTGAATGGGACCAAAAAGTACAAACTTCCAGATATAAAAGAAGTCCCAATAGGATGTAATGTATGACATGGTGACTATAATCAGTAATAGTACTATACATTTGAAAGCTGATAAGAAAGGATCTTGAAAGGTTGCATCACAAGAAAAAAGCTGTAACTAGGTGTGGTGTGGGGGTCATTTTCTGTTTTAAATTTTATCTGTTTCTGGCTGCACTGGGTCTGCATTGTTGGGGGCACAGGCTCTGGCGCATGTGGGCTTCAGCAGTTGTGGTGCGCAGGCCCCATAGTCCCGAGGCATATGGAATCCTCCCAGACTGCAGATCGAACCCATGTCCCCTACATGGGCAGGTGGGCCCTCAACCACTGGGCCACCAGGCAAGTCCCATTTTCTAATATATATATCTCAAAGCATTATGGTGTACACCTAAATGTAATGTTATATATCAATTATAATTCAAAAAAAGTCCTTTATTTCAAAGCTCACCAAACTACTAAATCTATAAAAATCAAGAATGTGGACTTTGCTGCCTTCTGAAACAGAATCCCCATTTCATGTTCCCATACAACGGCAGACCTACCGGGTTGAGGTCACGCACTATGCTTCCTGCAGGTGATTTCAAGACTCTATCGACCACGTCACACACCAAGTCCTCCAATCGGCTCAGGAGCTCCTCAAAGGTCAGGAAAGGACACTCAGCTTCCACGTGAGTGTATCTGAGGAACATGACAGTAGCTCAGAGCCGCCCTTCTTTCCACTAAGTTTCTCTCAAGCAAGGATCTTAATGCTGGGAAACTGTCCAGAAAAGTAAAACTCCCACCCTGCTAATCAACTCCCAACTCTGCGAATTCATTTTAGCCCACCTGACTTCCTTCCCCCCTTCTTAATGATTTCTTGCTTATTCCCCAACACATAAAGGATCAAGAGACAGCAAATCAACACACCTTCGTGAGCTATGACCTAAGAGGCAGAACTTCTTGGACAGTTTCCGTGAACTCATTCAAGTGACCTTTATAAAACCTCTTAATACTTCAGAGGTTTTACACAGACTGTCATTTACCTCCATGAAGACTGCTTCTCTGAACAGGTTTTCTCAGAAAACAAAATTTAAAACGAAAGCAAAAAGACAACCACATACTCAGCCAGGTGCCTTCGTGTTCTGGACTGTTCCGCCCTGTATGACTGTGCAATACAGAAGACATCTCCCAGAGCAGGAATGCAGGTCTCCAGGTAGAGCTGAGAGGACTGGGTCAGATATGCCTCTTCCCCAAAATAGTCCAGCTTGAAGAGTGTGGAACCGCCTTCCACCTGTGTTTGCACTAAAGACCTGGAGTAACCACTAACTACTGTCAACATTTTAGTATACCTTTCCAGCCTCTGACCAGTAATTCCAAAGTAACGTTAACACCCACATTGAAAAATTCCTTAAGTACCAAGGTTTTACTAAAAGAGGTTTCTCTCTGAAACATATAGATAGTAAAAATTCCAATCCTCCCTAATAATCCCATTGAAATCCTTTTATTTAGAAGCCACATCGTATGGAATATATAGCCATCTTGGTGCCCAACACTGCCAGCAAGAAACACCATGACAGCCACTCCAATTTGCAATCACATTACTTACAAGGAAAATCCAGTGAACTTGAACCAGATATTCACTCTTAATATAGGTTCTTTACATGGACTCTGGGAGACTTTTTTATCAGTATTTCTAGTCTAGTCTCTCAGGAGGACCCCATGGGCTCCCTCTGCTGGTTAATATGTCATGTTTGTTTTCTTTCCCAAGGAACAAATAAAACCACAGTTGTTACTTGAACAATAATTACCAACAAGTAGCTCTTAACTGGTACTAGGTGACATGTGTGTTGGCTGGGGAACAAACAACTCTCTGTCAGAGTTATATTTAAATTTGTAAGAGCCTTTCAAATTCTATTTTAAAAGTTTCAAATTTAGATTACTCTTCTTTCCTGAAACACTTCCAGTAGATGAAATTTTTATTTTCACCTAGCTAAAAAATTATTCACATATAAACAGCAAGTTATTCTCGCCCTTGAAGATTATTCAGTAATTCTTTAGGCTGGAAATCACTGAGATTGCTACCTTATACAAGCTGCACAGCACATGTATTTCACTGGAAAAGGAAAAGGCACTCTAGAGTTAGCAAGTGCATCACATCTTTATATTTATAATGCTAAATTCCAAAAAAAAACAAAGACACTGGAAAGCAACAAGCATACACTCTTCTCTGAGAAACTCAACACACTCACCTGCTTGCCCTTTGGGGTAAGATTCAGCATTCCATACACTGCGACACTGCTCTCAGTGGACAAGACAACACCGCTGTAACACTGACACTACAAAAAGATCAAGTTCAAATTTAGCTGCTCACATTTACAGTAACACATTCTACCAAACAGAAAGCAAAGGGGATCATTTATAAACAAGTAATCTAGTCCAAAACTAGCAAAATAAAAGACGCCATTCAATCAAATGTTTATATAGATACACACATATATGTGCATACATCCTTTACACACACACACACATATGCATAAATAACACTAGTCCATATCTCTTTAAAAAAGTGAAGGAGAACTTTATAAGGGAGGGATCAGGCCATCAACACCTGAGTCCATTAATTATAGGGATGACTGGAATTATGTGATTCATGATGTGATGTAATTGAAAGAAGACAGCTATGTCCATGAAGTAGTTATATCAAGAAGACCTGAATCTGATCAGACCTAACCTCCAGCTTGTAAGAAACACAAAGGATAGAGGAACATTTACACCTTATGATGTAATCGACCACATCCAGAATGTGGCAAGTCCCACAGGACAAATAACCCAATTTTTTCCAATAAATGGCATGGGGGAATGTGATAGAAGAGAATGAAAGGGGAGAACTGCTATAGATTGAGAGAGATTTCAGAGACATTATCAACTGTAGGCAACATGCATCTCTTGTTCAGATCCTCATTCAAACTAACCAACTGTAAAAAGACATTATGCATCAACTGGGAGAATCTGACTGGATATTTTTTGGGGGAGGGGGTGTGATAATGATAATGTGGTTATATGAAAAATATTTCTTCCTGAGGAAGCATATGCAAGTATGTTTACATGAAATATGATGTCTGGGAGATAAAAGGGGGGAGGAGTAAACCAGAATTGGGAATATATTAGTTATTAGCTGCTAAAGACTTAATGTGTATCCCTCCCAAAACCCTATGATTAAACCCTTTCCTGTTGTTAGCTGGGGCCTTTGAGAGGTAGTGAGGATTACATCAGGGCATGAGGGTGCAGCCCTCATGAATGGGACTAATGTTTTCCCTTCTCTGCAAGGATGAGGATATAACAGGAAGTGGGCAGTCTGCAACCTGGAAGAGGGCCCTCACCAGAACCTGACCATGCTGGCACCCTGATCTGGACTTCCAACCACTAGAACTGTGAGACATAAACTTCCGTTGTTCCCATGCCCCCCAGTTCATGGCACTTGGTCACAGCCTAACTGAGACATTACTGAGGCTGAGAGAGGAGCCTGGGAGGTTTCCTCCTGCTGTTCCATTTTTGAGATGTTTGACATTTCCCACAACAACAGTTTAAAATAAGTATCCAGATGCCCAAATTCCCTAAACTAACAATAAAGGAACCTACTGAAAAAAATCAAATATTCAGCCACTGTAAATATGAGAAAATGTTTACCAAATCGTCTGACAAGACACACTGGAGAAAACCCGTACCGTCCCGCAACACTAGAAACATTAAATTCTTTCCTAAAAACGAGAAAGAGGAAGTTCAGCCGGACTGTTCTTGAGGCACCTGGAAGCACTTTCTCATAATTGAATCTTATATGAAGGAACTGCCAAGTCTAAATGTGGAAAATGCAAACCTCCTACGGGGCCTCGTTCCTTTGAAGCAGTGTCACTACTCAGTATCTGCAAGGTATTTTACCTTCTTTACTGATTCTCAAACCCCACGCGAGCCTCCTGACCCACAGCATCACGGGAAAGCAAGACATAAACCTGTGAGTCAGGGGCTGAGCCTCCTTCACGCCCGCGTCCCTGCGACGCCCAGCACAGTGCGTTCCATGGAGGGCGATACACACTGTCACGCACAGGCACGCGGGGCTTTCTACGCCCCGTTTCTTTTTTTATGAAGCATTTGAGAACCACTTACAATAAAAAACATGCAAAAAAATAATAATAAAAAGAGAAAGCAAAACATCAGGACCAAGTACAAATGTGCTAGTCATAAAAATCAACATCACTGACACCAGTCAAGTTTCAGATTTGGCTCTGCTCTTTCTGTAATGTACCCCCTGCTTTTCATTCCATAATTCAATTCAGTTCAACAAATATTTCCCGGATACCTCCTGATCATTGTTTCCAGGATCAAAGGATACAGCTGATTGTATCCATTACAGTTAAGCAACCTTTAAATAATTTTTAAACTTTCAATAGCTGTATTAAAAGAATGAACCTAGGATATAAATCACTGTTTCCTTTAAAGAGTTAGCATTCCCAAACAAAAATACCCTCCAATAAATGCTTTTCCTCATGTTCTTCATTTAAGACTAGAGATATTGAAAATTAAAGAGAGAAAAGTACAACAATGCCAGTTACCTTGCCGACGCAGCCTGTGGACCCAGCCAAATACCTTTACCCTTTGGCCTCTATATCCTTCTAGTTCCCGAATCTTCACCTGTCAAGTTAAAGTAAATAATGTTTGACCCAGCATGTCATTCATTACATACCAACTTTGTCATGAATATCGGATGGATGGCAGTAAAGTGTCTAAAAAAAAACCACAAATGATGTAAAACTGCAGATACCCACTTGACTGCATGTTACGGTCAAAAAAATCTCACCATGCCAGAGGAGTTTAAAAAAAAAAAATCCAAGTCTTCTTTGTCTTAGTGCAAAACTGACCGAGAAAAACACCCAGAACTTCAGATATTGCTCAAGTCAGTGAATCAATGAAATTCACGGCAGCAACAACCCTAGCCCACACAGAGCCCTTTCCCTGACCTCACGGACCCTCCTGGTACCCTGGGAGGTGGAAGTGAGCCAAGGAAGCCAGCCACGGCTGCCTTCTCATCTGGGGGATGGAGGAGAGAGGGGAGGGGAGGAAGAGGCTTGCGGGTGTGGCCAAGCACACAGCTCCCTCACTAAGGAAGCAAGAAAAACACGACAGCTCAGCAGCAATAATAACTATTCTCTTCTAGAAAGAACAAAGATATAATCCAATTAAAAAAAAAACAAACACAAAAACCCTTTTCTCTTAAGAGGTCATGAGAATCATGGATTTCAACCTCCTCCTTTTACCGTGAGTAAACCGCCCCAGGGAGGGTAACCACAGCCCACCGGGCCTGGATGCCACAGTTGGCAGCTTTCAGTGGGAAGAGAATGTGTTCAACATGTCGATTACTCAATTTTATTAAAAAGTGAGCCCCATTCTCCAGCACAACCGCTCTCTCTCCCTTCTGAAAGAAAAGACAAACACTGCAAAGGCCAGAGCAGGCAGACGCTCCTGAGACACAGGGGTGCCTGTGGGTCCACCATACATGAAACAACATGCATCACACTCACACATTTCGGCTCTGGAAGACTTGGGTCATTTTTAATGGTGATCTTCTTTGCTTCTTCCAGGTTCTTCTCTCTTCGCAAACTGTCTTCTGCCTAGTTTGAGTAAGCGGGCAATCAGTCAGCACGGCATCTGGGTCCTAAACCGAAAGGCGCTCACAGCACTCGCTGCTCACCTCCTTCTTCTCCCGGGACTCACTCTTCATCTGCTCCCGGTGCCACAGCTTCCTGATGTTCTTCATCTGGGACTTAGAGATAACATCCCACCTCTGGAGGGGCAAGCAGGCAGGCAGGGCTTTCAAGACCACTGTATTCTACTGACAATTTCCTCACAAAATCAGATTCTGTAACGTTTTGGGTTCACCTTACCTCATTTTCTTTTTGTGAATCCACGTAAATGGTAGGAAAGGGTTCTCTTCCAACTGTCATCAAAGCCTTGGGGAAGGGAGAAAAAGGACATTCCTTTAACATCATGCAATGTTTAAAATTAAGGTAACTCCTGACTCACGAGGTAACTTCAATCACCTAGAACATTATCAAGAGCCCAGAAGAAAACATAAAGACCCCACTAGCCAAAGGTCAATGCTGATAGAAGGCACGGCTGAACGTACTAAGACGACTGTGCTTAAAGTAGACCATCCATATAGTTTCCCGTACTAGTGAACAAGAAGCAGCAGATTTTAAGAGGCCACAGGGACCAGCAGGAAGCATGCTGACAACAACAGAAGGCACAGCCGATAGCGAAGGCCAACTGCAGGGCGCCTCCGGGTGGCTAACCCTCACCAAGGATCCGGGCAAGTCATTTCAGAAACTCTCAACACAGTGGTCAGTTACACAGAAGGCTGTCTCGTTTAACTGGAAAAATTCCTGTGTGTAGAATATATAGCCCCTTTTCACCAATACTGGAATATATCTGATGTCACCGTATCATTTGATATCTTACAGTTTACATTCTTTTCTAAAAACATAGATGGTTGGAAGTATATAAAAAAATAAGTATTTTATTAATTGCTTCAAATATTCCTTCAAATCTGCTCCTAAGTTATCATCAATCAAGAAACATAATGAGTTGTTGTCTCTAGTGTAACATCTGAAGCTTATGAAAACCGACCTTTTCTAAAGATTTCCAAACCTGAAAAATACTTTTCATCTTGATTACACACCAGTCTCAACTCAATTACTGCTAGAGAGGAGGAGGGAACCTGGATCTTTTGGAAACATCCAACAGAGTTCAGCTTCTCCTTTTAACAATCAGACTTTGTGAGAAGTTTGTAAATCACTAAGAATTGATTTACTACCTGACAGTCTGTACTGACTCCTTCTTTGCTATTACACATCGAAAGAACCCAAGTGTAATTCTCCAAATCAGATTGGCACACTTTTTGCTAACAGCATACATTCATCTAAACACTACTGTCAGTTTTGGGGAATCACCCCAACAATCTGAAATGAGAGTCTTTCCGCTAAGGTTTAAAAAGTAAGATCCGTGTTTGACACACCAAAACATAATCAGAGTATGAGCTAAAAGAGGAGCCAGTGGTCCCAGGACAGGAACACTTGCTAACGACCTAAACAAATCCTGCAACACAGCTCCCAAGAAGGGGGACTGCCCAGCCCCGGACACACAGCAAAGTCAGGGCAGTGCTCTTCCTGGGGCCGCCAGGGGACAGGGCGCCATCCAGCTTCCTTCTGTGGCAGCTGTAGCCATTCCAGTCAACAGGCAAGGCCACAGATACCTTCAGAGGGAAGGCTTCCCGGCCCTACACTGTAACCTGATACAATCAGATACCCATGTCCTGAGTCCAAGCTCTGAGTCCATGCTCTGAGTCCAAGATGAGAAGAACTCATCTGAACTGTATTTGGCCTTTCATGTAAGCTGGCTTAGAGAGAACATGCTAAACTTACTAATGGATTCTACTACCCTGGGAAATAATAATTTACTGTTAAATTAGCATCCTGGCTTTAGGCTCCAGACTCATGAAATCCTGAGAGTCTGTTCTGAGGAATGGGTCCCTTTCTTGGTACTGATATAAATCAGGTTTCTGAATCTCAAGGTTCAAGATCACACCTGGATTCAAGGGGTAAATTCACCAAGAGAACTCTGAGGAGTCAGTTTGGAAGAAATGTTTGGAATAAACTCAGAATGACTATGGGAAGATAATTTTTATTTCTACAAGAACTAAAAAACTGACCATTTGACTCACTGGAGAGAAAAATTCCACGATGCAATGCTGATGGTAAGGAAAAAAGAAGACACCTATTTAAAATGTTCAAGTGGAATTCCCAGTGGTTAGGGACTACAAATCCAGTGCTTTCACTGCCAAGGGCCTGGGTTCAATCACTGGCCGGAGAACTAAAGATCCCACAAGCCTCAAGGCGCGTGTTCCCCTCCCCACCAAAAGAAAGTTCAATAACTTTAGGTATACAGCATCTAATATCCTTAAAGCTACATACCTGTATACAACCCTTACTTGCCCTTTTCTTAAAGTTCTCTTCAAATTTGTGCTTGAGATAAAACTCCTGACAAGTCATATAATAACTGGCAGGAATCATTAATAACCACAAAGTCGTTTTCCTAATGAGGAAGAGGCACTACCTTAAGGCCTGTTTTAAAAGGTTTCTCCTTGGTTCCATCACCAGTAGCATCATTTCCCTCTCGGTCGGAGACATACAGCTCTGCTGTTTTACAAAAAGAGAGTAAGTTACTCGTTTGGTCAGTAATTACCAGTCACCTCATACTGCAGCTACTTTATCCATTCTTTATCTTTGTAAACAGAACATGTATCTGATCAGTGAAAATTATCAAATTCCAGGGACTTCTCTGCTGGCCCAGTGGTTACGGCTGCACGCTGCCAATGCAGGGGGCGTGGGTTCCATCCCGGGATCCCTGAGACCCCACATGCCATGCAGCGCAGCCAAAAGATTCTTAAACTTTAGTTTAAAAAATGTATCAAAGTCCAAAAGAAACTGTATCAGTTTATTTTCCCACTCCCCTATCCAAGGACATCCATCCCGTAAGAAGAGACTGATCAAATTTAGCTTTTCAAAATGAACTTTGATCATTTTCCTTTGTGATACTGCTTCTATTACTATCCACTTGAATCCCAACAACAAAGCAAGGGCTTTGTAGTTAGCCAGACTGGCCAACTGGGATGTTGCACTTTAACAGCCAGGGACCCTGGAAGATTCACTTAACCTTTCTGGGTTTGTTTCTGAGCCTGTAAAATGAGGGAAACGATACGCATATCTTGAAGTACTGAGGATGAAATATATAAATCGGATATCCTGGTGCCAGAGCACAGAAAATCAAAATAAACATCAGTTTCCTCTGGCCTTTAAAGGAAACCAAAAGCTCCGAAGGTAAACGAATTGCACAAGAGCCTCACAACTGTGAGCGGGCAGAGACATCATTTCGGATCTCCTACATCTTCTCCTTTTCCTATTGCATCAGATGGCCTCCCAGGCCCTCTCCACATAAACGAGGGTGAGCGAGAGGGGCATTCTCGAACACCCTCTCCTGACGGTCACTCGGAAGACGCAGACACTCGGGGGCGGCCCTGAGGTCTGGCCGGGCCTCTTTCAGCGGAATCACTGGCTTTCCCTCAGCGGGGCCGCGCGGGAAGCCTACGGCGCCCGGGAGAAGCCCGGCCCGGCCCGCCCTCCCCGCCTGCCTCCATCCGCGCGCGCGGCGCTGAGAGCTGTACTAAACCGGAACGCGGGGGCTGCCCGCGGCAGGGGCGCCACTCACACCCCCCGGGCCCCCGGCCTCACTTACCGAGTACCATCCCTGCGGGCGCCCTGGCCACCTTCAAGGACATCGCCGGCAACACGCAGCCGCCTGGTCTCCCCTCGGCGTGCGCCGGCGGCCTCCTCAACTCAGAGGTTGCATCATCGAACGTCACGCAGAAGCCGTCGCCGTAAGTCACCCCAGCGTCGCGGCTCCATTGGTTACGGGAGGTTACGGAGCTAGGGCGAGCGGCGCCGCAGCCGCCATCTTCGGTTCAGGCAGAGGCAACTTCCGGTTCCGGCGCCGCCTCCGGGCTACCCCTTCCCTTCCGGCTGCGCTGGGGACTCGAGGAGGCACTGTACCGGCCGGGGTCTCCTTGGCCACGAGACACCCCGGGCACCGCTGTAGTCCCAGTCCCTCCGGCCTCCATCTACCCAACTGCCCTGCTGGGTCTCCCAGTTCCGCCCCACCCCTACCCCTGCTGTGGGCGCGGTCAGGCCCTCCCGGAAACTAGGCCCAGGGGTTCGTCCCAGATCCTCAGATCCTGGGATGCTTGTGGAATTTATGTCGTCATCAAATTAATGACGATTCATGTCGTCACCAGCCGCGAGCTGGGGCGGTGGTGGGGGTGAGGGGCAGAGCTAGGGGTAGTCCTGTCTCCCATACATTGCCTACCTCCTTGAACATAAAGACGCTTTAACTTTCTGACTTCAATGAATTTAGGAATGTAATTCTGTGTCACTTGGATTAGTGTGTATTTTTTTTTAATTATCTTAAATTGGAGGATAATTGCTTTACAACGTTGTGTTGGTTTCGGCCTTACATCAGTCTGAATCAGTCGTGAGTATACATATCTCCTCCCTCTATAGGGTGTATTTCCATTTTTAACTTACAAAGATCAGTATTAGGAAGGTCATAATAACTCTGTGTAAAGAAATGAGGCTTCAGATCTGGAGTTCTGATTCTGCCATTTGCTGTGACTAGAGCTGAATGCGCTAACCTGAGCTTCAATTTCCCTGTGTGTGAAGGATGGTTAAGTTCAGGGCCCAGCAGTCACAGATAGTAAATAAAGGGTGGCTAAGGTCATCATTCTCAAGTTACTGGAATACCAGAGTTTGTCTCTGAGTGAAAGGAAAACATACTTTGGTTATGAAAGTAAGTCCACTGGTAGGCTCAGAGTCTGTCAAACATGTAAACAAGATAGATACTTTTATTTAAGAATATTTCACCCAGTTTCATGGACTTTGCCCTTTCCCGCTTCGTTGAATGCTTTTTTTGCCCGTGCATCAGTTACCTACAGCTGAAAGGCAAATGTATTATCTTGGGTAGCTTCTGAGCACTGGGGAGTTGATGGGGGGCAGGTGGTATTCTGACACAAGGCCTCTTCTGATTCAAGATGCGGGGCAGGGGCTGCAGTTACCTGGTGGCTTGAGTAGGTGAGGATCTGGCTCTTGGCAGGAGGTCTCATGTCACGTGGGCTCCCAATGACAGGACAGCTGACTCCCCAGAAGTAAGTGGGGGAGGGGGAGAGGCAGCGAGACTGTATTGGTTACCGATACTCTATACTGTATAATAAATGACCTCCGAACTGCATCAACAGTGGTGTTCTCGCACTGCCTGTGAACCAGGAGTCTGGCAAGGCCTAGCCTGGGTTTCAGGCACTGGGCCTCTAAAAAGGCTGCCATCACGGTGCCACCTGGAGCTCATTTAAGATAGTGTTTTAGCAGTTTGTGATGAAAGCTGTTGTGAGAGAACACAAAAGCACAGAACCCTTTGCAGATTTGTGTGCCATCTTCGTACGGGGGCCATGGTAATCTCTGTACCATTCCAGTTTTAGGAGACGTGCTGCCGAAGTGAGCAGAGGCTAAGATTCTTAGGTCTCACCTGGGTGATGCTCTTCCCACACACCCCTGTGGGTGTTAGGAGGACTCAGATCCTCAGGCTGTTGGACTCAGGGCCTCAAGTTCTTCGCTGGCTCTTGGCTGGAGGTCTCTCTCAGCTCCTTGCCACGAGGGCTTTTCCAGTGGGCAGTGTCCTTCATCAGAGCAAGTGAGCAAGAAGGCAAGAGACTGTGCAAGCAAGATGGAAGCCGTGGTCCTTGGTTTCCCATCCCTTTTGCCGTTTTCTGTTCCTTAGATCCGAGTCACTTGGTCCAGCCTATGCTCCAGGAAAGGGCTGTACACCAGGGCATGAATCCCAGGAGGTGGCAGGGGTCCCAGTGCCATCTTAGGAAGCTACATGCCACAGCAACTAAAACCCAAACTGTACTGCCTTTTCATAACCCACCCAACGAATGACATTTCATCATTTCTGCTGTATTTTAACTGGTTGCACAGACCAGCACTACTACAATACAGGAGAGGACTACACAGGGGGTGAATTCCAGGGGGCGGAGGTCAGTGGGGGCCATCTTAGAGGCCGCTACCACAGCCCAACCAGTGAATTTCTCCTCTTCATCCTGCATGGAGACCCCAGAGGCTGGCTCATGTAGATGCAGCAATGGGCTCTCTGTGTCTTGGGCGGATGCAGCCAGTGGGGGAGCACCGGCAGGGATGGGGTGAGCTCGGGTACTTCTTGCTCCAGCTCCCTCATGGCAGGCTGGCTGCACCTTCACTCAAAGGCCACAGTCATCTGAACTGTCCTTCATGAGTTGAGCGTCATCTGATTCATAAAATTGGATGCACACAGAGACATCCCACTGTAAAAAGGAAAGCAAGTGTGTCTACAGGAATGGGCCTGAAGATTCCCAGAGCACCTGCTTTGATGGCACTGTTGCCTTGTCCCCGAGCCACACCCACAGACTCAGGAGACTTCCCCACATCCAGTCTCTGACGCCTGTGTAGTAGGCTAGCACAAGCCAGTGTGTGGCTCTGAAAAAGCAGGGGGGTGTCCCGGGCCATCTGATGGTTAAGACTGTGCTTCCAACGCAAGGGGCACAAATTTGATTCCTGGTCAGGGACATGCCACATGCTGTGCAGTGTAGCCAATAAATAGATAAACTAAAAATAAAAAATAAAAATATAGTTTTAAAAAAGACAGTTTCAAAGGGGAATCGGCTTAGATGCTAGAACTCTCAGTGGATGACTGGCTTACCACTTAGGTGAATAGAGGTGGCACGAGGGACTGATGGACACGGGCTAAAGGGTTGACCAGTTAATCAGGGGCTTATAAGGAACAAGATTAGAGGTGTTAGGTATGGTGGTCTGGTGGGGAAGTATGTGGATGAATTTTTCTGAATGGGCACATGTGAAGATATCTTGCTCCATGTAAACACCCCTTAGAAGGCATTCAGTAGAGAGGAGGTCTTTGTAAACTGTGGATGTTGGCCTTCCCTCCCCACCTTCCAAGTCCCCCAGTGCTTGTTCAAAGAAACCATACACAAAGTGGCTACAGTAACAGGCTGGAGACTATGAGTGAATTCAGCTACATAGACTGTCTTTCATTAAGGCTGAACTGGCTAGCTGATTACCACTATGGAGGACCCAGCTGACAACAACAGAAACTGACTTTGAAGACTTTGAAGTTCAGTTCAGTCACTCAGTCGTGTACGACTCTGCGACCCTATGGACTGCAGCATGCCAGGTTTCCCTGTCCATCACCAACTCCTGGAGCCTACTCAAACTCATGTACATCAAGCCGGTGATGCCATCCAACCATCTCATCCTCTGTTGGTCCCTTCTCCTCCCACCTTCAGTCTTTCCCAGCATCAGGGTCTTTTCAAATGAGTCAGTTCTTCGCATCAGGTGGCCAAATTATTGGAGCTTCAGCTTTAGCATCAGTCCTTCCAATGAATATTCAGGCTTGATCATCTTTAGGATGGACTGGTTGGATCTCCTTGCAGTCCAAGGGACTCTGAAGAGTCTCCTCCAACACCACAGTTCAAAAGCATCATTTGAGGACTTGATGGGAGACTAATCTTTGAGGTGACCCTGTGTCCAGCTGGTGGCTGGTGAATTGCATTTAACCCCCAGGTGGGTGAAGTTGCTCAGTCGTGTCCGACTCTCTGTGACCACACGGACTGTAGCCTACCAGGCTCCTCCTGGAAATTTTCCATAGAATTCCATGGAATTTTCCAGGCCAGAATACTGGAGTGGGTTGCCATTTCCATCTCCAGAGGATCTTCCCGACCCAGGGATCAAACCCAGGTCTCCGCATTGCAGGCAGACACTTTACCATCTGAGCCACCAGGGAAGCCCTTTAACCCCCGAAGGAGGCAGCAACATGCCCATCAACTATAGCGTCACCGTCCAGAGAGGATGTACCCTCCCTGTCTACAGCGCCAGCATCTGTGGACTTAGGGAATGCCCTGGCCATCTCCACAGTACATAGCACCTTCTCTAACCAGGGAACACACTCAACGAAGAGTGAGAAGGGGCTCATACCTTCTGGGGGCACTTAGCACAGACCCTTACACTCCGTAAGCTTGATAACTAGCTGTTGGACAGACTGGTTTAGTCCAGTCCAGACTGGTTTAGTCCAGTTTCTCCGGAAGCAGAACTTCCCTTTACAGCATCGCTGAAAGGAGTCACAAGAACAAACTAAAGTTTGTCGGTGCTCACGAGGGAATGAAGGAATTCAATGAATGGCCTTGCTCTTCTCTCTTCCTCCGACTCTAGCCAGCTGGGGGTAACCTTTTCTGGTGGTCCTGGCTGTTCCGTCCCCGCGCCCGCTCAGGGTTCTTCTGATGCCTGTGTGGAAATCCCCTTCGCTCCACCAGGAGCCAAAGGGGAGTCAGCGTTCTGACACTATAAGGGCCCCCGCGGGCCACCGTAGCCGGCTGCCGGCTTGCGCTCCGGGTTCGTGACGACGGAGCCGCCATGTTGTCTCCGGGCACTTCCGCGTTCCGGCCCCTGGGCGCGCTTTTCCTGGTGCGCGCGCACCTCCCAGGTGCGGCGGGAAGGCGGGGCCTCACGCTGTGCTCGCGGCGACGCTCTAGGCGCGCCGTCTCTTTATTTGCTCCTCGAAACAGTTCCGGAGAAAGAAGAGGCGAAAATCCCTGTGAGCGTCTGTCGGGCACGTTTCCCCGTCCCTGGGCCGGGAACAGGGTTGGAGAGGGGTGGAGGAGGGGAGCTTGTTTGCTTAACGAATCGGCCAAGCAGTCCAAAAAAGAAAAGCTTAGTATTTAAAACTGGTTTGAAATTGCAGACAAAAAAGTAGGGTTATGATTACGGTGAAGCTATTGATTTAAGGAACTGAAAACGTAACTTTCCTGGTTCTTGTAAAGTTAAATTT